CGGTGTGGACGATGGCCAGCACCGTCTTCTCAATGGGGGAGTACCTGAGCTCGGCCTCCCTAAGTGTCTTGCTGATGTAGAAGATGGCCTTCTGCACCCCTTCGTCCTCACGGATGAGCACGGAGCTGATGGCCGACGTGCTCACCCCCAAGTACAGGAAGAGGGTTTCGCCGGCTTTGGGCTTGGAGAGTATGGGTGGGGACGACAGGTACCTTTTCAATTCGTCGAATGCTTCCTGGCACTCCGTCGTCCACCTGAAGCTGGTTGCCTTGCGCATGATCTGGAAGAAGAGGAGTGCCCTCTCAGCTGACCTGGAGAGGAAACGGTTCAAGGCCGCCAGGCGCCCCGTCAGTCGCTGTACCTCCTTAACGTTGCGGGGCGGCTCCATGTCGATGATGGCCTGCATCTTTTCCGGGTTTATCTCGATGCCTCTCCGGCTGACCATGTAGCCGAGGAACTTGCCACCCTGGACGCCGAAGGCGCATTTCTTGGGGTTGAGGCGGAGCCTGAATTCCTTCATTATCTCAAAGATTTCCCGGAGGTCGTCGGCGTGGGAGGTGGCCTGCCTACTCTTGACGATCATGTCGTCGACGTACGCCTCCATCGTCCGGCCAAGGACCGCCCTGAAGATCTTGGCCACCATCCTAGTGTAGGTGGCGCCGAAGTTTTTGAGTCCGAAGGCCATGACGAGGTAGCAAAAGATTCCCTCTGGGGTCATGAATGCCGTCTTCTCGGCGTCCTCTTCATGCATGGAGATCTGGTGGTACCCTCTGAAAGCGTCGAGGAACGACATCAACTCGCACCCCGCCGTCTCGTCCACCAGCTGATCAATGTTGGGGAGAGGGAACGGGTCCATGGGGCACGCCTTGTTCAGGTCAGTGTAGTCAACACACATTCTGAACGTCGGCGGCTTCTGTGCGAGGACGACGTTGGCCAACCATGTAGGGTACTTCACCTCTTTGATATGTTTGATCGATAGGAGCATGGCGACCTCCCCTTTGACGAAGTCCCGCCTGTCAGCAGACAAGTAGCGCCGCTTCTGTTTGACGGGCGCGGAGGCCGGATCGACGGTCAGCCGGTGAGTGATCACCTGGCGGCTGATGCCGGCCATATCGTCCGGGCCCCACGCGAAGACAACGGCGTATGACCGTAGGACGAGGAGGATGGCGTCTCGCTGGTCCTGGGGGAGTTGCTTTCCGACCCTGAGAACCCGCTCCGGCCGGGAGGTATCCAGAGGGATTTCCTCGACCTCCTCGGCCGGCTCCGCATGTGGCCTCTCCTCGTCCATGGCGGCGGCGGCCGTGATGGTATCTATCCGCTGTCCCTCCCTTTCGGACGGCCTCGTCAGCTTGAGGTAGCAAGCTCTGGTTATCCTCTGATTTCCTCTGGCGTAGCCGATGCCGTCGCTGGTGGGGAACTTCAAGCATAGGTGCTTCATGGAGATGATGGCCTCCAAGTCCTCCAGTGCTGGCCGGCCCAAGATCAAGTTGTGGGCGCACTGGAGGTTGACCACCATGAACTCCATGTCAATTTTGGCATGGTGGGGGCCGTCACCGACTTCCACGGGGAGGACTATCGTGCCCTCGGCATCGATAGAGTCCCCGGTGAAGCCGGATAACGGGGTCTTGATCGGCTTCAGCAGAGCTCTGTCCAGCTTCAGCTGCTTGAAGGTGTCTAGGTACATCACGTTGACGGAGCTCCCCGTATCGATGTAAGTGCGGTGGATGATGGAGTCACCGATCTCACATCGGATGACGAGGGCGTCCCTGTGTGACTCCGTACCCGGAGGCAGATCCTTGTTGGTGAAGGTGATCGCCTCCGTTCGCTGCTTCTTCGGCTGGGGGGGAACGTGGGACACCTCTCCAATGTAAAGGGATTGGGCCCATTTCTTCCTCTGAGTGGCGGAGTCCCCCCCAGTGTTCCCGCCTACGATGAGGTGGATGTGATTCTTCTTCGGCGGAGGCTCCTCGAAGTCCTCGTCGTCGCTGAGTCTACCAATCTCGCGCTTCTTCGCAGAGGGTTCGCCCCCACGTTTGCCGGTGTTTACCCAAGTGTTTTTACGTGGGCCACCTTTGACAAACTGGGAGAGTTCCCCCTGGCGAATAAGACGCTCGATGGCCTTCTTTAATGTGATGCAATCGTCGGTGTTGTGCGACGAGTTCTTGTGGAACCGGCAATACGTGCCGCCCTGTTGGATGGCCAGGACCTCCTCGGCCGGCCGAGGAGCCTGCTCGATGAGGCCGTGCTTCTCGGCATAATCGAGGATGGTGCCGACCGGGTGGGTGAGGGCTACCCCCGGCCATTCCAGCCTTGGCCGCCAGTGGCGGTCTTTCTTACTTTGTCCACCAGAGCCGTGGCGGCCCTGGGCACCCTGGCCGGCCGGGGACGGACCCGAGGCCGGCGAAGGATTTGTCTTCTTGGGGGGATGGCCCCCCTCTCTCTTGTGATTGTGGAGCTCGTCGGCGTCGGCATACAAGCCTCCGCGTTGGAGCGCCTTGGCGTACGACCTCGAGGGGTCAGTGATGAGGCTCCTAGCGTACGGGGAGCTGCGGAGGGCTCCCTGGTACAAGGCGAGGAGGGTGCGCTCATCGGCCCCCTCGACCTCCTCGGTCTCCCTCGTCCACCGGTCGATGAATGACCGGAGGGACTCCTCGTGCTGCTGTTTGACGGAGAGGAGGTGGGTGAAATACTTCTTGGCGCGCTTCCTCCCGGCAAAGTGAGTGAGGAAGCGCTAGGCGAGATCTTGCCATGAGTCAATGCTTCCCTCTGGCAGCCCGTTGAACCACTCGTACGCTGGCCCCTCGAGAGTAGAGAGGAACCAACGGCAGAGGTATTCGTCGGACGCGTTCACCATCAGCATGTTGTTTTGATAACGGCTGAAGTGCTCCTGGGGGTCTGATCGGCCATCGTAGGACTTGATGGCGTTCCCCCTGTACTTCTCAGGGATGGGGGCCGAGAGGACCCTGTTGGTGAAAGGGGTCCTAGTCCTGACCTGGATGATGGCGTCACCCCGCCCTTCGGCCAGCTCCCTCTCCAGGGCGCTGACTTTGTTCATGAGCGCGTTGAGGCCGGGGTCGTTGGAGGCGCCGGCCGTAGGGACGTTGGCCGACTGCTTGGCCTCCATCTGAGCCAACCTCCTTTCCAGCTGGGCGATGACCTCGTCTCGGGGGTCCCTGTCGGCCGGGGCGGCACCCGGCTGGTTCCTCTGGCGCTCGTTGTGAGCCGCGTTGATCTGGTGACGCACGTCATCCTCGTGCAACTTCCCCTTGCCCTTGTCCGGGCGGGGCTGGTCCGCTGTCCGGGACACAGACCCCAAACTCTCCCTTGGCGAGCCAGGACGAGGATCACCAATCCGTCCCGCCATCCTCTCCGAAACCGGACGACGGCGCGTGTCACCTAGCCTATTGAAGGCAGAGGCTTTTCCTCGCGCTGGGGTCTGCCCGGGCTGAAGAGGGGAAGCAGGGTGGGAGTGGGACGACGCCGTGTCCTGGGCCACAACCCCCTCATTGTTGCCTATCTGGTCGGCCAGTGGTTGGGGATGAGGAGGTTGAGTGACGTTTCCCCCGGTCCTTGGCAAGAGTGCGCTGAGGACGGTGGGATTCTGAGCCAAGCTGGCGATGATAGCCGATAGTGCGGCCTGGACCTGAGGATCTACGGACGGAGAGGCCGCGGCCATAGGCTGGGCCGGGGCGTGGTCCGCTTTCTCAGCTCGTTTCTTTTCCAGGCCGAGGCGGGCGTCGGGGACTCCGCCGTTGAGTTGGTTGCGGAGGTCCGTCGTGAGGTTGAAGGCCTCCTGGAAGAGGTCCCCTCCGCCGACCTGGTCGGCCGTGGCGTCCTCATCGTGCTCCCTGGGCTCTTGGTCCTCAGGGATGACTTTGCTGACGAGGTTGCGGTTTGACTTAGTTCTCCCCATGATCAGTGGTTAGCTGTGCTTGGTAGCGACGAAGGGTGCTAACTTGATTGTTCTAGCTCTCAACGAGAGCACCAAATGATGGAGTATTAACTCCTAGATTCTAGAGAGAAGTGAGAGCTAGAGAGAGAAGTGCAATAATATGCTTCAATAGAATGATTTTGTAACCCCTATAACTACTCCCAAGGGGAGTATTTATAGAGAAAATTAGGGTTGGGCTCCCAAGCCTTGGGCTTGGGAGGCCCATTTACAACTGGACCGCTACTGGGCCGAATACAAAGCCTCTAATGGGCTGTACAAATGAGTAAGTATAGGATCCGATTCTGGGAGGTCTTCGTGGCCGACGAGGGCGTGGCCGACGAGGGCGTGGCCGACGAGGGCACGGCCGACGAGGGCACCCGAGTCCCTCAGGCTCAGGACCGTAATCTGAGTTGGCACCTTTTCGGCCGACGGGAGCGTCATGGCCGACGAGGGCGCCACTCTGTTGTCTTGTGCTATGTTCTTCCGAGTATGTGGGTCCTGGGGCTCAGACCCATATACTCCATCATGGGCACATACACTTATAAGTTTGAAAATAAGGTGCAAAGTCAAATTCCATGATACAATTAACATTTACCTCACTCTTATGAATTTGACTCACATTATTTATAAGTAGTATAGTTTACTAACCCACATTCACAAAAAAAGCCTATCTATGTTATTTGTCTTCCACTAATAGTCCAACATTATTTTTGATATGTTTTTAACAAGGATTCAATCTCATTCGTTACAAAGCCATCTGTTTTTTTATTAAACCTCTTCAAAGGCACCAATAGAAGAATTGCAAAGTTCCTAAAAACATTAGGACGATGAGATTTGCATTCACTTCGTTAGGAGGAAAAGTACAAAAAGAAGTAAACATTTCTAGAGGGTCATATGTATATCAAATGCATGATACTATCAATGGATTCTAACAAATCAAAGTTCTCTCAAATCTATATTTATATCACGAAGCAAATTAATTAAGTAGACTCCATGCATTAAAAATGCTTTAAAATTTTGTGGAGTGAAGGAGAAGGATACATGCAATACAATAACAAAAATTGTGTTTAAAAAGATTAAATTTAATTTAATGCTTATGAATAATCTATAATACTAAACAAATTCATATTTGCATTTACTTTCCAAACCACTATAAATCGTATACGTACACATTAATGATTTTGAATCGGCAATTCTCATATATTAAAAAATATATTAGCACATATATTCTTCTTTATTAACATTATACCATCACATTTACACCATTGAGTGAATATTATTAACCTCTATTGATGTTCTTCATTTTAATACTTATCAAAGTGACACTACCGGGGCATGCCCCGGGTGTTACACTAGTTACGTAGTAATTTATTAATTGCGATGGAAGGCATAAACAATGGCCTTCTCAGAATCAGACCAACTAGATAATCAGTCCGTGATCAACTCGAGTAGATGAATGAGCCGCAAGAGGCCATTTCTTCTACAAATTAAAGATCCAGCAAATATTATTTACACCAAACCTTTTTACATAAAAGGTGTGACCTTAATTGACTAATAACCAACATATGGTAATAGTCTAATAGAAAAGGCAATAAAATTTATCTGCAACCATATCAACTGGGATGATATTTGATGAAAGCAATCATTTCCCAATCAGGTCTTCTCCCTACGTAACCTCCCGCACGTGTCTTCTAACAGAGAAGCCATGGATCACAGGAAGTAGGCTGTGTGATCTAACTATAATCCGACAAGACCGTTTCCACTTGAAACTAATTCTAAACTACAGCATTTCAGCGGTTTGCTGGACGACTAAGATCACACATTCTTACGGGTGAAAATACAACAGTTAGCTTGGCATGATCAGAGAGAGAGTAGTTTTCGGGCCATATTCCCTTCTCTGCTTCCTTTGGGAAAATAACTGCATTCTGGATGCTAAAACCAATTGTTTCCTCACTGGCGTTTTCACTGTCATCCCAAGAGTCGTTGCAGGCTACGTCTCTTTGTTCTGACCATGTCGGGTTCCATATGCGTTGCTGCAATGGCAATAGATAATATAATCATCATTTTCATAACACGCCTTAAGTGTTTTGGTAAATGCTATGTGACATTCATGTAAGCAAAAGGGTAATGGTGGAAAATAGGTGATTCATGCTCCCATTGGTATTCTTAAATCTAAGGAGAGTGGTTTGGAAACATTTTTTCATCTCTACAGAGACAATTAAAAAGAGAACAAGGTGAGTGTATTAGGTTTTGTGTACTTCAAAGTACTGTAAAGTTTCTAAATGCATGATTTTCATTAATAGGCCTCATCAAGCATCATATTTTTTCTGTTTTCCCTCTAATTTTAAGGAAAAAGCAAAATTCTGAAAGCCAGAAAAGTAAAAAACGTTGTTTTCAGTTTTAGAATTAACAGGATCACTAGAAATATGATTCATTTTAATTCATTTGACAATATACATCAGTATATCACATACCTTTTAAATCAAAACTGGTCCTAAGCCTATAAATATTACCAAAAAATCTACTGTAGAAAGTTTTAGACTTGCATTGTTGAAGGAGGGAGTATAATACATGTTGGGAGACATTAAATAAATTGGACTTGTCGTATCACATGGAAATAGAGAACGAGTCGAAATCAATACCTTGAATTCTTTGTAATCAACAACACCATTTCCATCAATATCTGTTTCCACCCACAAATCACTAATCTCCTGAATACTTAGTCCGTTACGATGGCCAATTAAATTAAGCTGCAGAATTAATAGAACACATTAGCTATAATGTATTATGAAGGTAAAGTACAGAAAATATAAGCATGATCACACATATATGTAAGTTTAGTTGTTCAATACTACCTGCCGCAATGCTTCATAGAAATCTGAATATGTAATGCAATCTTCATCTCTATCAGCCTTCAAAAAGGCAAATGCATTCTCCTCTGACAAAGAGGCTCGGCGAAGTTGATACTGAGAATGGAAAGGGTTCATGAGTAAACACAAGTTAGAAAAATAATGTCTTTAGCTAGAATGATATGAAAAAATTCAGGTATGGGGTGTGGTCACTCCATTAGGTTGCGAGACACCTAGACAAAATCATACTACCTACTAAAAACTTAAATACAATATAACTAATTCAGCCCTTCCTCTCAGGATAAAAAAAAATGGACAGACAAAGTGGGGCACAACCTGAGTTTGACATCATGATAGAATGTAAGATTGGGTTATAAGACACTTAAGTCAACCACACTAAAAGATTATAACTAATATGTTAGCAAATTCGATGTAACTATGCACAGTCTTAATAATTCATCATTTTCTCTCTGATTTTCCTATGTAGAACTTTAACATGACACTAAAAGAGAGCAACAAATTAATTGAAGGTTACGACGGTTCGACTAAATAGCTTTTATACCAAATTAAAAGTCAGATTTAACATGTATATCAACCTTAAACATCCCAAAGATGGCCTGACTCCAACTTGTTTTTAGCAACTTTCTGTATTTGGTAGGATTAAGGAGCCATATAAAATCTACTCCACAGATGTTCCCTCGATGATTACGATGGCTCACCCACTGCATAAAACAAAATGAAATATGAGACAAAATATAATGAGCTTCAGTTGTAAGCAATTACAAATTCCAAAGAGGAGAGATGAGGTTTGACCTTATGTGCATCTGCATCGGTGTACTGATGTGCAGTATCATATGATGATACAAATCCCTGAGACCTCAAGAACTTGTAAACATGTCCTCTTTTGCTTCCATTCCAATCCCTGCAAATTTTTATATCATCAACTGATCCAGAATGTATATGTACAAGCAGAAGTCATATACATTGCGTGAAAAAGAAAATTACCCACAGAGTATGATCGGTAAAGGGTTAAGCTTATTTTCTTTTTTATATGATTCCACATATTGCAGTATTTTATACACCTGTGAAAATAAAAACAGTTCACTACATTAGCATGATGAGGATGTCACTTATTTCCTCTTTACGTATTATTGGTAAATTAGTAGAATAAGGAAATTCTAAATACCTGACGCAATCGTTCCAAGCAAAGACTTGAATCGTGCGGGAAAAGCAAGTGTGTGTTAACTATAAGAATCTCTTGTTTAACATTATTATTCTGGCATGCTGAGGGGGGTAAAACTAGCTCAACATGTAACAACTGTGCAACTCGGTCTCCAAAATCATTGAAATGCAACTCTTGATGGCTTATTACTGTAAAGTAATCCTTGTGAACAGCAGTCAGCAGACCTGTTGGATGTGAATGAAAATAAATGTATCATATTCACTACAACTTCAATCAACATTTACATTGAACACTTTTTTAACAATAACAGGTCTGCTAAAGCCTAAAGGTCTTTCATATATTTGATCTTCTTTATAAAAATTCAACCTTATGTGAGGAGGTGCAGAGGAACATCTAAAGGTCTTATATGTGAACTTGTGTCTTTGTATTCTTATATACAAATTTGTACCTTTGTATTTGAGCTCACTACAACATACAAGTCTACAAGCCTTGTGTCCTTCAATAAGAAATACTATCAATATCTTATTTGCGGTTTATAAAGTTACTATTTTATGAAATATCATATTCACAGCTAACTTTTGTTTATCAATATCATATTTGCAGTTCATAAAAGTTAAATAAAAAACGTTCATCAAAACGAAAATTACTTTGGAGTATATAGGAATTAACAATGATAAGAAGACACATAAGAAGCCAAAAAAGAGGAAAATTTGGGGCACATACCATCACCACGGCCGTTAGTTCGGCCAAGCTTAAAAATAAGATAGCCAGCATCTCCTAGTCTCTTGTTATACAGATCAACAAGCTCTTCATTCCCAACCCAAAATTCCTTGAAACATATTTTTCAACATAGTTTTAGTTTGGGCATCACCATAAAGTCACAAACAATGCAAAATAAACTAATTTGCATAAACTTGTTATAAATAAGTAACAAAACAGAGAGAGATAACTAAAACCTTCTCTCTATTTGGGTTTAGTTTTTTTTATATTGTAACTTTTACCTGAAGACAAATGATGGAAGATCTTTCTAACAATAAACAATCCAAAATCCTCTGGTTCCTATCCAGCCAAAACTCCCTGAAATGGCTTTCTCTAATGCTCGGTTCCTGCTTCAATTTTTTGTTTATCAAAATTATCACCAATAATCTAAAGTTCAAACTCATTACTTCAAAAACATAAGAAAGCGTAGAATAATAATTGAAGGAAAAACACGGATGTAAAAAAAACAAAAACAAAAACCTCGTGAGCGATTCTTTTGTAAATGGGGGCAAGGATATTGAAGGTTGTGCAAGAAACTGAATTGGGGTCAGAGATTGAAGAAGCAATCGCATAGCTGCCGATTCTAGAGGTCCTCCCTTTTGTTTCCTTCCTCCCCATTGTGTATTTTTAGCCTATAAATGTAGGATTATGTATGTACGGAGAATACGTCTATGATTAAATACAGACTTGAAAATTGTGTGTCCAGAATCGGAAACAGACAAGGAAGAGGAAGGCAATAGAGAGAGGGAGAGAGCAGTACAGAATAGAAGAACCAAGAAACTAGAAACAACAAATGACAGAATGGAGTAGAGGGGACGATGAGGGCTTTTATAAAGCTTGGAAGGCAACAATGTTAATGAGAGATCTGGGTCTGCACATTCTGCCGGGCCGATATTTTATAAAGCTGAGAGCGAATCTGTTTTTGTGGGGCGGAGTCTAGGAGAGTGGAGGAAATCCGGGGAATCAGCAAATATGCTGTAGTATTGCAGTTCATAAATTTAAGACATATTATCCAAAATAGGACTACAACAGTTTGAAAATTTCAAAATAGAACTGTCATATTTTTATTCCCAAAATAGGACTAATTACTGTCATGTTTTGGCTGTACCAGACTTCAAATATGACAGTATTTTCTAAACATGGCACTAATTAATCCTATTTTGAGAATAAAAAACATGACAGTCCTATTTTGAAATTTTGAAACTGTTGTAGTCCTATTGGGAACTTTCCCTAAATTCAATTGATATTCCTTTCCCAAAAAGAGTAAAAGGTAATTGATAGAGTACGTAATTTTTTACTCACAAGAATTTAGGGCCTTGGCTATCGTATCCAATGGTGTATTTGGTTTTCTCAATTCAGTTTTGAAATTTTGATTGAAATTCAATATAGAACTAGAGTAACAAAAGTTTGGTATGGTTATAAGCCCGGTCGGTGATTCTAGTTTTCGATTTATCGGCTCTATTATTTAGTGTTTTCACCAAACACGTAATCTTGAAAGCCCATTTAGTAATATTGAAATTGACTGAATCGTCTGATTCTGCTGATATTCATGAAGTTCTGGCTGAAGTGACTGAATTGACCAATTCTGCTAATTTATAAAAACATACCCCCCTCTGTCCCCCTATTATTGTCCCATTTCCAATTCACTTGGTCAACACAAATCACTCTTAATCTCTTACTTTATTTATCAAATTTTTATCAAATTTGATTCTGGTTTTTGCGACTTTGTCAACCTTTTAATGTACTTTCTTAATATGCAATTTTTTTTCCTAAAAATAATTCTAGTGCGGACAAGGATCTGTTTGCTTTATCGTCAGTCAAGCATCGTAAACCGCAATGGGACAATAACAGGGGGACGGAGGTAGTAATATTTAAAATATTTTTATTAATAAAACAAGGAAAAAATTATATGAAAAAAAGATAAATGATCATCTATATATAGTAATTTAATCTTATACAACTAGAAAAGTAACTTCAACCTTAATTTTTCTTATTATTGCATAATTCAGCGCGCGAAACCAAAAGTTACGTGTTTGGTGAAAAAGTTGATTGATAAGTCTGATAAGCTTAAAACAGGAATCACCAAACGGGCCCTGAAGTTACTTTTTTGGCTAAAATTACCGTAGAGAATTCTTTTAGCTTTTTTCACATAACTTACCGTAGAGAAGTATTACATAATTTAATTACTCGCAAAATCAAAAGTTAGTTATTTGATGGAAAAAATGGTTGATAAGCTGAAAAGAAATGCTCCCTCTGTCTTGTTGAGATTGTCGCATCTTTCTTAGCTTTTCAGTCAATCCCACTAAGATTATCTTATACTCTGTATCAAATTTGATAAAGTTCATGTGGTTCTAAATCATTCTTAATTTATTCTTACTTTATAAATTTAATATCAATCACATAAACTCATTTTTCTTAGTAATTGCATCATGTCCTCATGCCCAAGTGTTAGTGAGACGGAGGTAGTATCACCAAACAAGCTCTAAGTCAATTCAACCTATTTAGTCAATTTCAGTGCTACCAAGCGGGCTTTGTATTTTTACCCTGAAACATGAAATTGCGCTTTGGCTGAGCCTATTTGTCATTTGATTGAAAAATAACACATAATCGGAAAAAATCAAACATACAACTCAGAAAAAAATAATGAAAAAAAAAAAAATAAAAATAAAATAAAAAGGAGAATGAATGAATATATCCTTGAATTAGGATGTTTATAATTGGACTGAAATTTTCTGATCTGGTCTGAACTGGTCTGGTCTCATTTGGTAAATGTCTGGTCTCTATGTATTTTATAGGTGTCCAAGTCTGATATATGTATTTTATAATGGGACGGTCGAATCCTGCTTTTCACCCTAGCCCTTTGTAGGGCTTTTTCCTGGTTTTTTAAATTTTATGGCTTTGGACTAACTGAGTCACTTGCAGAATGGACCACTTGCTGATTGTTGATTAATCTTAAAACGGGTACACGGTACAATATCTAGACTCTCGACCACTGATGCGCAGATACAAGGTCTATCTCCATTTGACTGACTGAGTCACAATGATTTACAACCTCTCAAATACCTTGTCGGTTCGGGACGTGGGGGTTTTGGGATTGAGAATTCAACCTTTTGGAACATTGATTAATCTTGAAACACCAAAATAACAACATGTGTTGCTCCATACATGGCGTGGGTTGTGGAGATTCTTAAAAAAGTATGACCCAAGTAGACTACTCATGTTTTCTGGTTATGTTTGTTCTGTGTTTTGCCGGCTATTTCCCGAGTACTGACGCTCTGGGTTGTTATGTCTCCCTCGATATGAGATATCGTTTTGGTGTCTAGACCACCTTTGTCTGGTCAGAGGTTTCTGTCCACTTTCTTTTGGACTGCATAGATAATGGTAGAGCTCGTCCTCCTCCATAACCACCTTCTTGCTAGGAAAAGTTTTGTGCAGAGGCTTTCAATTTTATTTTTCCTTCAATAGTACTTATTTTTATTTTACTTCGAGTAGGTTTGGTTTGAATATTTGGATTTCTTGATAAGTATGTTCCAACTCCCGATTGTTTTAGACTTAAGTTTGCTCATTTTGTTTCTAACGAATCAGGTTGCTTTGTATGAGCTGACTATATCTATATCTATATCTAAGGCTTACGATCATGACATTACTGTCTAGAGTTTGTTTTATTTGATTTCTTGATACTAATATAAAACGTCGCACTTTTATATTGAAGAAAAAACTAAATACTAACAATGAAATTTTGATTATTTATTCTCAATGGAACACCTCTCTCTAGAAACCCTAGGGGCTGATGGTGGCGTGTCTTGCGACTTGCTTCTTCTCTTGTGATTCAGCAACGGCAAAGCTAGAGGATGGGAAGCATATGTGCGGCTAGGGTTTCAACTCCATGCCAGGGTTGCGGCAAGTAGCAGGTAATAGATTCCATGACTTGATCTAGGTGACATCAGTTTTCGGAGATTCTAGATAGCGTATGATCCAACTGAACTGTTTTTCTTTTCGGAGTTGTTATGTGCAATGATGGTTCTTACCCGGACACTGACGCTCCGGGTTGTTTTTGTCCCTCGGTGTGGGGAGTTATTTTGGTGTCCCTGCCAGCTTCGTCTCGTCAGGGGGTTCTGTCTGCCTTCTTTTTAGATGCCTATGGAATGGTAGAGCTCGTCCTCCTATAGAACCAGCTCCCTGCCAGAAAGGATTTTGTGGAAAGACTTTATTTCAATTTTATTTTTCGCTTTAGTAGTACTTATTTTTATTTTTGTCTGAGTAGGTTTGGTTTGGATATTTGGTTTTGAAGTACTTTTGATATGAAGTATTCAGTTTAACGAATGAGGTTGTTTTGTATGTATGATGTGACTGATTGTATGTGTATTCTCAAGGCTTTCGATCGACTCTGTCATAACTCTTTGGAGCATGTTTCATATGATTTCTTGATATTATTATCAAAAAGTGCTCAATGGAACCACTATAATTCAGTTAAGTTGTTGCATTGGTTTTGGAGATCCGATTTGGATTAATTCTCAATGGAACAACTAGAATTCATTAAGTTGTTGCGTGGTTTTTGGAGGTCCGATTTAGTTTTGGTTAGGTTCGTTTTTTTGGCAAAGTTAGGTTCATTTTTTCGGTTTCACTTTTTTGTTTCTCAAGTAGATTCTTAAATCTGTCAAAAAGAAAAGTAGACTCTTAATTGAGCTCCTCCAGGATAGTATGTGATGGTTCATTGATCCAAAAGGTGAAATCTCCCACCCCAGGAGCCTCCACCCCGACAGGATGGTGGGAAGGTTAGTCACGGTGACTCAGTCAGTAGAATGGCAGTGGGCCCATACACCCGTGCGCACCAGAGACCCAGCCTTATTTCAGGTTCTGTGACCTTCACCCGATCGCTGCGGGGATTCGAACCTTGGTCCATTGATCCAAATCTCCCACCACTCGACCAATTGAGCTACCCGTGCAGGTAGTATGTGATGGTTCAATTGCTATACGTTGACATCTTAGGTTTATTTTTCAAAGATATTATGTTTCTCAACCCATCTATACCGTCATGGATAGGAGGGCGGTTGTGTGGAGTTTTGAAACTACATTAAGACAGTTTCGACCTTGTTTTTCTCAGGGGCGCACCATCTCCTTTTCCCCTGACCTTCGAAATAAAAAAAAGAATGTGATGTAACGTAACATGAATATCTAGGAGTTTTTTCCCAAAGGAAGGTAGTCTTTAATCTTATTTCCCAATTGAGGGTACTTTTAAACTTATTTCCCAAATGAGGGTAGTTTTTCTCATGTCATCCAATTTCCGCCACATCACCCACTTCACATCATTCACCGTCATCCGTCATTCCACGTCATCAGCCATATGGATATTCTTTTAAAATATAAAAAAAATCCGAAGCTCTTAGGAATTAAACTCACGACCAAAATGATGCACTTGCATCTTGCAACTCACTAGACTACATTGACTTGTTGGGACAATCACACATTTACAAACATTTAACATCTATATATTTTTAATACAAGGTATTTTGATATATGCAATTAAAAATTTTTAAAATTACTCTACATTAATTAAATAAAATAAGAAACTTCCTTTAAAATAAGAAACTTCCTTTAAACAAATAAATGAGAATAGATGGATTAATTCATCCCAAATTTAATAAAAAATCTTATAATGCTAATGCAAAAACATGTAAAAATATAAATTTTATGTACAAAATTTTTTAAAAAAATCCAACACTAAAATACAATTTTTTTATAATCATAATTTAAGTATTTTACACGTCTGAGGTGGATTTGAACCTATATAGTAGTATGTTTGAGATATATATTTAAGCACACAACATCACCAACTTAATTCATGTATTATTCGTTCCTTTAGAGATATATTACTCATTCCTTAAACAATCAAAGAATATGGTAACATAACATTAAAAAAGAATATGATAAATACTTAATTTCAGATATAAAATTAAAA